GGGCGGCGCCTCTCCGGCCCGCGGCGGCACCGGGCGGGCGGGCAGGGGCTCCCTCCCCCGGCCCGGGCTTCTGTCCTGCGGGTAGCGCCCGGGGCGCCACCCTCACATCGCATTAGCCGTATGTTTCCCTAGCGGAAAATCCGTCATTCTTCCACCGCTGGCCGGGTTTCCCGACGCTGGCACCGTCCGGCCCAGACTTTAAATTCACGTTAGTTAAAAAAAAAAAAAAATCGACGCCCTCAACTCCTTGTGCGGCGCGAACAACCCCCTCCCTTCCCAAAGCCCTAAAAACCGGTTTCAAAACCTGACAGAAGCTTTCTTCATTTTTTTTTAAAGTAGATCTCACAGACTTGCTCCCCATGCCATCTTTTTGATTTCTGAAGACGAACATTTTCCCACTCTCCTTTCATAAGCAGCCTTCTGAAGTTTTGTTTGGTTTTTTTTGTTTGTTTGTTTGTTAATGGTGTACAGTTCAGTTGTGAAAACTTTATTAACAGACCTCAAAATACATAGATTTCTTGCTCTGGGATTTCCACCTTTATAAATGTGCCCCTTCAAAACAAGCCATTTTAAGGCTGATTTCTTACGAAGTTATTAAACTGACAGCATAGCATTTAAAAAAAATAATCTGTCTCCTAATCATGAAGATATTTCTCATGAAATTACTCATGGAAATAATAGTTCTAATATATGACTTCACATCTAACCTATAGCTATGTAACATTAAAGATTACATTAAGGAGAAAACGATCAGCAGGCTAACTCAACCATGGTCACAATAGCAGCTTTCTCAAGGCTGGAATTGTCATTGAAATCCATTTTTTATCTTTACTAATTCATAGGAGGACTAAGAGTGAGACAAATACCATCTCTAGCATTGGCATATCGTGCTGCATTTAGTGCCTTTTAAGAAAGTAAAAAGAAACAAGAATATATGGTACATCAGTAGATAGCACAGTAAACATGCTTTATCATTTCAAAGAAGAATGCCATATTGCACGCATGCTTGCTATTTATTCAGTTTGTGGGTTTGGTTTCAATAGTACCAGTTGTTAAGACAAACGGAGCAATATAAGAAGAATCTTATCAGGTCTTGGTAATTCTTTATTATGTGGTTGCACTTGACACTCAAATTAGTGAAACAAAGGGCCAACTTGATGAATCATTGAAAGCGAATTATCTGTGGCTCTCCAAGGCTTCCTGCAAGAGACTACAAAAGGCAGCTCATGCATTTTACAGTGCTGTTTCTCAACTATCAGCAAGCAGGTTGCTGGTGACTGACCTTTCTAAGCCTCTCTAATATATTTTGCCATGCCAAACTGAAGCATCATTTTTATGATTTAGGCTCATGGCTGTATGTTAGACATCTGTTACACAGTATGTCTGACCAAATTCATTCAACTTATGGGGTTTGGTAGAATAGGCTGATTTAAAAATCTACTGATAAAGGGGACAAACTAAATTTTCTAATTTAATGCTGAGCTTGACTTGAATAATGTCCAGCTTTCTGCTTGTCAAATATTTAATTAGATTGCCATGATGGTCATAGACAGTATTCTTGGCAGTCAAATGCTCATGGAAACAAATACAGTAGCGTAATGTAAATCCTACGGAGGTTTTTATGAGTAAGCATGGGAACTTCAGAAATCATCTGGAAAACAGCCCAGCTATTTAATTTAATTTTAAATTCCTATGAATTAATAGTTCTAGCTATCTGGAGATTTGGTTTTAAAGACTATTGGAATCTACATACTTGCAGATATGCATCTGTATACCCAATAGTTAGACCTGCAAAGCATAGTCTGTAAGTCTCATAAGCATTTAAGCAACTTGGAAACAACACAGAGAACATGCGAAAGTCCATCTGACTTCCTGCTTCAACTAATTTATTTTCAATATGCAACCGTCGGTGCATTTCTGTTCCTCCTTAGAGCTAGGGGTAAAGACAGATTAAAACATAAACAGACGCTTTCCCTAGCACAGGAAAAAGAAAAAAGCCGGAGAGCCACGGTTAGGTTTTTCAACAAAGTCTGACTGAGGAGAGCTTTTCATCTGCATGGAAGGGACTGAGTTGTCCCCTCTTCCAATTTACTCTTCTCACTTTCACCTTTCTGGTAGCTACAGGCTGACAAAACATTCACATGAACTAAAAATCTGCTTGTGGCAGCTTCAGGAGGACCTAAGATGCAAATGACAAAAATCCACATAGAGTGAGAAACCCATGTAAGAAATAGCGATGCGGAAAGAGACAAACGTCTCAAAACTGACAATGGACTTGGAACAATAGAGCTCTTTCACTGATTCCTAAATAAAACTGCTCAAACATAAAATTTCCCCAAGCTGTCTGGATAAATGAAATAACTATCAATTTATAATCCATTTTAACCCTGCTTGTCTTTCAGAGATTTCCTTGTATAGACATAAAACACCCTTTCAAACTATGGTCTCATTAAGTTCATATAGGGACAACATAGCATAATCTACACCTTAATATAGTGAACAATTATAAACATACTTTCCGCATTATGGTTGGCCTGGATGAGCATTTGTGTGGAGGAGCCTCTTACTCTTCATCTATGCCAGTGCATCTCAGCAGCTGGTAGTGAAAGTACTCGGTGCAAGTTAGGATGAGGGCAATGGCTACAGTTTCTGCTGATGACCCAGAGGTTGTTCGCCAGGATGTTTTCCCTGAGCGCACTGGCTACTGCCTGTGTGACACCAGCAAACCCTGCTCTAGGACCTTGCTGTCTCTCTCTCCCCCTGACCAGAGGTTTGTGCCTGCAGTCAGTACACAGAATGCCTCCAAACTGTCAGCTGCAGCTACTCTTCAGCCCTGTCACCTCCTCAGAATGAAAGCCCAGACAGTCCTAAATGTTTAATTATTTTGTGACTCATTGATGGGAGTGTGGCTCCTTTGCTGAAAAAAAATAAAGATTTTAGAGAACTGATTTAGATCTGTGTCTAGTTTAAAGAGAGTAAGAAAATGTTTTTGTTTATCTATTACCCTTCATGAAAGAGTGAAAATAAAAGGGATCTGGTGTGCTATGAGTAGTTAAACTCTAGGTGAGTTCTGCAGGTTACTCTGCAAGTGTCCTGAAAGCACTTACATACATTCCCATCACGCCATGTGTGTGAAGATGTTTTTCAGAAAAATACTGGTGATAGAGGAGCTTACAGTAAGATTGGAGGGGGGAGGTTAGTTGTATCAGGACCACTTTGATATCCTTATGCCTTTGAAAGGAAGAATTTGAGTTACTAAGATTCTATAGGTGGCTAAGCATGAGAAAATATTTGTTTAAAATTAATCTAAAAGTGACTCCTGTTAAAGTTGCATCATTTTGTCATCTACATTGCATTTTGTGGTCTGTGAAGCCTTGGGTCTGTCTCCTCAAAAGTAAAATCCACCCACTGAAATTATCTCCTATACATCTTTTATCCCTCTTTGCTTGCTGGGGCAAGGAGCTCACTAGCGAGTATAAAGCTCCCACTTCTAGTTCTGCAGCCTCATGAGGTATGAGCTTAAACCATGATCACTAGTGCAGAACAGAATATTGCTTGTCCTGGGCCTCTAGCCAGTGACATTTGGGAGGATGGCTGGGAGTGCACATTTCAGGGGGGAGAAGTAAGCATTTTTTGACTGACTAGCTAGAAAAATGAGACTAAAGGTGCTAGGGAGGTTGGAATATGATGAAAGTTTGTGTGAATTAATGGACAGAGGGGCCATCAAAGGTATATAGGAAATGAAATACATCACACTGAGATCATCTCCACGTGTTGTTTTATTATTTATGTATCTATGAAATTTTAACCTCTTTTTCCTTAGAGAAAGGGCTGCATTTTTGCATCACAAACACAACCAATGGAAAACATTCAGCAGCCAACAAAGTAATGAGCTTGCACTATAGATTTTTCAAACTGCCCAGTGATTCATGAAATACTTTTCAAAACTGGAAATATGCATTGAGGATTGGTCAAAACAGGTAGAAACAATATTATAGATCAGTCAATACTGTCTCTCCTTTATGAAATCAGGCTGCCTTTGAACTTCTGACAGAAGCAAACAGTGATAGATGCATAAAAAAATGAAATATTGCATGGAAATAGAAGTGCAAATGAAAACAGAAAGGGGAAAATAGTAAGATAAGATGTGCTGAATCTGCTGGTTTTCTCTTTTCTATTTCTTAGTTTTCTCCCCAATCTAGGAAGCATAAATAAAGGTATGGGATGTTTCAGAAGCAATCTGTCTAGCTCAACTGAATGGACTCATCTGCTCTAAGACCACACGTGAAACACTACTTCATTCTAATCACTTTTTGGGGGAAGAAAGCTAAACAATTGTAAAGCATACTCAAATACCTGGAATTATACAGCATACTCAAAATTCCATGTCTGAGGTCAGAAACTTTGAAGGTTAAGAAATTAGCACAGGAGGCTGCAGACGGAGTGTACCCAGTACTGCTTGTGGAAGCCAACAGGCATGACCAGAAACTGCTCTTCACAGCCTTTTGTTTTACTGTCCACCACCAAAACAAAAGAAGGAAGACATACATAATCTCTATAAACAGAGCACAGATTTAACATATGGACTAAAGCAACCGAGCATGTATTCACTACAATTTGGTAGGAGATTCGGTATGTTTGAATATTGTGGTGGTACCTTTGCTGTAATATAAGAGATCTCAACAAGATCCCAAATGGCTCAGCGTACGTATGTCTGTTCCTTTGCAGAGAAAAACTACACCAACAGGAATTCAAAGTGTTAATTGGAACAGAATTGCTAAACTTTAAAAAAAAAAATTACCAAGCAAATATCAGACACAAAGCATTAGAGCAAAAAAAGGAAGCAAAGAAGGATAAGTGCTCATTATGGATTAGTTTGCAGTTCTTTATGTGTTATTAGAGAGTCAATAGAAAACTCTCCT